ACATAGAGACCACTTTTCATCATTCTTAAGTATTTGTGTACTGACTTTGTAAATGTGTGTTCTCTCTGCTTTTTCTCATCACATTAGCTAGTCTGTTCCTATTTGGTTGCCATCAACACTTTCGATCATAGATGACAGAGTTGGGTCTGTTTTTTCAGTGTAAAAAGGGCAAATTTAAGCGCTAGGTTAAATTTTTTTATTTTTATCTCTGCTTCTTTTTCTATTTCTGCTTTTTTCTTATTGAACCCCTGTCAGCCTCTGCAGATGGCTGCTCACGATGATTTGCTGACACTTTTTCTTCCTGTTAAAATGGAGATTTCCTCCCCACTGTGAGCATGCATGCTCGGTGTGAGGGACGACAAAATGGCAAAATTAAAGATGATGATGGGTGTCCATTGCTTATTTGTTTGATTATAAGCTAGATTAAAGCCCATGACATGACTTTGTCATCCTATAACACATTTTTAGCTCAACCTACCAAGCCTTCAGCTTACTCTGCTTGTGCTTAGATGTTGCTGACCCACTGCTGCTAAACTATTTTTCAGTCATCCAAGTAGCTGTGCCTCATCATTCAAGTATTTGCATTTCTTTATTAGAAAATACAAGCAAACATCACTGGCTCCTTTTCAAGATAAACTAATAGACGAGAACTTTTAATCTAAAAGGAAGAAGTGTTGTTTATTTTAGCCAATTATTTTACCATGTAGCTTAATGAATAAACGTCTTTGCTGTCATAACATAACTACCCTGAAACTGGATGCGTCCATTGGTGTTTAGGTTTAAATTATTAAGAATTCACAAATAGCATTAAATTAAAAGTTATTTTCAAACCAATGAATTAAAATATAATATGAAATAATAGAAATGGTTTCTTAAGATAGTTAAAGGATTCAAAACGTTCAAGGCTGCAACAATCCTCCTTTAATGCTTGTTTTATTTGGTTAAAGAGTCATGAAAAACTTTAACTTGAATTTGATCAACAGAATGTAGAGTGAAAATAAAAAATGGGGAAAAGAAAATAAGCAACTGTTGTAGTTTTGCATCCATAAATTAATATGTATGAATATTTTCCTGTTTCCATCCTACAAATAAATGTATTAAGATCATTGACATGAGTATTTTTGACATTCTGTTAAGGCAGTGATTCCCAAACATGGGTAGTGGTACCCCTAGTGGTGCACCAGTGCATTGCAGGGGGTATGTGAAAACATTTAATATTTTATTTCCCAGATAAAGAGATACAATAAAACAGGTCTAGGATGTATTTTGCTCTGTACAACCAACCAAAAAGATTTTTAAAATGTCCTAATCGACATCTACATGAAAGACTAGAGTGGGTATTGGTGCTGTGCACCTGCACATCTGCTATGCCATGAGAGCAGGAAGACAGGGGCAAAGCCAAAGGTCACAAGAGAAGAAAGCACCAAAGCAGCTGCTGACAAGGATAAATGGCTAAAACATCCCATTGCTGGGGATTCAGGAGAAGGTCAGGCGACTCATCAACACATGGCTGATTGATGAAAATGACGCAGTGAATCTGAATATTATTTTATTAAGTGTTATTTTACAGATTTATTATTCACAAGAGCTAAGGTTTTTGTTAAAAACGTAGATTTGCAACTTGATTTGATTTTGTATTGAGTTTAAAACATATTCACTTTCCAGAAAACATATATGTAAATACAGTCCTATGAAAAAGTTTGGGCAGCCCTATTAATCTTAGATATTTTTATTTCAGCTATTTATATATATATATATATATATATATATATATATATATATATATATATATATATATATATATATATATATATATATATATATATATATATATATATATATATATATATATATATATATATATATATATATATATATATACAGGGGTTGGACAAAAAACTGAAACACCTGGTTTTAGACCCCAGTAATTTATTGCATTGTGTAGGGCCTCCTTTTGCTGCCAATACAGCATCAATTCGTCTTGGGAATGACATATACAAGTCCTGCACAGTGGTCAGAGGGATTTTAAACCATTCTTCTTGCAGGATAGTGGCCAGGTCACGACTGCTGGTGGAGGAAAATGTTTCCTGACACCCCAAAGTGGCTCAATAATATTTAGATCTGGTGACTGTGCAGGCCATGGGAGATGTACCGTATATATACATCTCCCATGGCATCAGAGTGGTAACTTTTATATTTTTCATTTTCAAAATAAGATGCACATTTCATATATTTTCATTAGCCTGACTTTAAAAAATGATTCTCTAACTGTGAATCGGGGCCACTTCACAAGATGTGAGCCCGGTAGCTAAAACATCTATCCACAGCTGATTTCTCCATATATAAGGTATGTGATCCTCAAAAATGGTGTGGTGTTGATGAGACAAGGACAAGTGATGCACACTTTAACATATTTTCTAGATGATCAGATGTTTCAGATTAAATGGATCCTGGAGGATGGCGTTTTAACACAGTAGCAATGGTCAACAGGGAAAAGGCCACTTTCAACATTTTTAAGGTTAATCTGAGGAAGTGGCTCACTGATCATCTTGTCAGCACCAACTCAATGAACTGTTGCATGATTTTTAATGTTTTTTTTTTTTACATAATGTAATTAAGTGTTTGTTTGACTTGTTTTTAGCATAAATGTTAACATCTGTCCAGGCACAGCAGATAAAAAAAGCTGCTAAGGCTAATTCTGGTACATTTACAGAAATTTTCATTATTATACATTGTCCCTGTCAATCTAATAACATTGTTGGCTCACCAGAACTAAATAGCTGCTATAGTTATAGCTTTGGATGATAACAGTCTTGGTTCCATCTCACTTTTCATAGTAAGGCTAGGTGAATTTTATGTTTGTAAACATTTATTTTTCAATAATCTAGATTTTTTTTTATTTGCAGCAATGCACTTCTTGGTATCAGTTCATCACTTTTTGTTTTTAGATATGTACTTATAACTGCTAAACTAGATTACTGTGTAACAGAACTAGCTGCAAAGATTATTTTCATTAAGAAACCTTTTTTTGCAGCATGAACTTCATTACCCAATAAAAGAAGGTCTCCTTCCAAAGGGGATAGTGGAATTAAAAGCTACTTTCTGACAGTGACGTGTTTTTCTTATGAAGAGAAAAAAATTTATAAAAATCCTTTAATATAATTTGTTTGGAAAAAATTTTTAAGCTAAATCACTAAGTCCTAGTTCAGTCATTTACTTTGTGACAACTCCTGAGGTTGATCAGGAGTGTAACCACAGACATATATACTGTATTTAGACGCCTCATTGAGGGCAGGATCGCACATCGACATCACCACCATATTGTAAGTGGCAGAAATCAGTTGCCAAACTGGGCACACAAAAGCTGCAGATCGGCAAAACTAGGAAAAACCTGTGCAAGACAATTCTTTTTCAAAGCTTTTAGCTTGCATACAGTACAGACTGTTTTTAAATGTACATGTCCATATATAGATTTTTAAGCATTAATAGGTGCAATTATATAAAACTATGTCAAGATTAAAGATGTGTGTACCTGTATATACATATAAACCTATTTTAAATATGTGAATATTTGTCACTTATTCTGTTATTTCTATACACATTTAAAGGACCACATTTGCTATAACTTTTGCTAGTGTAACACAATTACGCCCAATGTGGGACAATAAAGGGATTTTCTATTGTATTCTATACCCACATACGGTATGTGTGTGTGTGTGTTTTGAATATAAATTAAATGGTTAAATCTAAACATTAAACCTTTTAAGACCTGGTATAGGCACAGATTGGCAACAGACATTTTGGGGGAGTATTAAAGAGATAAAATTACTAATATGCGGGAAAAAAAGTCCTAGTACAATAAAATAAGAAAAGTGGTAATAAGAGAAAAGCATAAGAATTATGGGAAAATTTCCAGAATAGTCAGTTTGCAGAAGTGTTTCAGTTTCAGAGTAATAGCATCAGGCTAGATTCTTCATTTTGTTTTTATTCTTTAAGAGAATAAAGTCCGGAGAATGAAGCCAAAGGGATAAGAAAATAAATTTGGAATATTACAAAAATAAAATTATAAATATGTATATTCTGAGATTAAAGTCCCTCTAATAATGCTTAAATGTCTAACAACATATTTGTCACATTCGCAGCAGAGGCAGACCCTGTCTAACAAGGCATCCATGTATGTTATTTCTATTGGTTTAACACCAGTTGCCCCCTCGCAAACATCTCAGTCCATCAGTCTATTAAACACATTGGGTTTGGAGAGGGGTTAAGAACAATTATGGGGCTTTAATTTTTTATGTAATCCCTACTTAAAACGGTTTGGTGAATCAGGTTACGATTTACACCCTAATGTTACATTTTCATTAAAACTACACCTGAAAACCTGCATTTCTCATTTTGTCTATAAAGCCTGATGCTTCAAGAGGTCAGCTTAAACCCATCAACCTAACACTATTATTTTTTTCAGAATTAAAAAGGTGTACTTTATGGTCATTATTGGGTATAAAGGTTTCAGACACAGGAGTCAATGACTTTCCTTTTATCTTTTTATTAAAAAACAGCACTGCTTATGCATCTGCAATGGTAACTTCAACTTCTACGCCTGGTTCAATGCTGATGGAGGTGATCTGCTTGACAATTTCAGACGGACTGTGCAGGTCTATCAGGCGCTTATGGATCCTCATCTGGAATCGATCCCAGGTTTTGGATCCCTCACCGCAGGGAGTCTTCCTAGTGGTGATGCGCAGAGTCTAGAGGTGGACCAAAGGTGCAAATAAACTTCCAGATACAAACCAAAAGAATTTCAGAGTTTCTATCAAACCGTCAAACATCAGAAAAGGAAAAGCATATTTAAAAAAGTAATTACCTTGGTTGGCATGCGGACTGGTCCCTTAACCTTCAGGTTCTTGTCCTTGGCACCACGGATCAAATCTGCACAGACTAAAAAATAAAATAATTATTTAACATCCAAAGCACAACTAATAAATTGTTTTAACTTCATCCCACAGCTCAGAATAGCGTATTCAGTCACCACGGTTAATAACGGTTTAAAAAATGTTTATCCTCATTGCTTCAGTTTCTTTGAAATGCCACATTAAATGGGAGATCAGGTACCTTTCTCCAGGGATTTGACGTTGCGGCTGGTGAGGGTGATGCGGATGCGATGGATGGCAACCTCAGTCTCAGCAGGTGCCTTACCAGAGTCCTTAAAAGCCTGCAGTAGAAGAAAACCCAAACACATTAATTTGCAGAAGCAGCAACTCTAATAAAACCTTAACTGTTAAAACAGGTAGTATCTTTATCATTATATATATTATTTATTAAGATTATCACATGATTAATTCTACTGAAGTAAAAAAAAATTAATTAGATACATCTCTATTTTCCCAGTTGTTCCCATAACATAAGGGACATCAAACCAGTTGCTAGATAAATAACTTGCTTAAAATCTCATATCAACTACAAGTAAACAAAATCTTGTGTCTAAAATAATCTCACCTAAGACGATGTGTTCACTAAGATTTTAAGAAAAGACTGGATCAAATAATAGAGCTATTTAACGCGTTTAACAAAAACAGTAACGATTACTGGTTAAACTGCATTTATTTCCAGTTAGATTCGGCGGGAGGACCAACTCGAATTCTTGCTTTTGAAAAGTAAGCAGCAAATTAAACTATAGGTGTTTCAAATCCGATTTATACGGTATAAATCAATTAAATCAAACAAAATGTACCATTTTTGTTATTCCTGACCGACTTATTCGGAAGAAATTTCAGCGAACAGCGGTGAGTCAGGAGGAGATGCAACCAACGTGGATAGCTCCACAGGAAAAAAGGACGAAGCTAGGCCTACTGCCGGTTTAAGCTCCACATCCGGGTCACTGCTGCTGCTTCTTCTTCTATGGTGGCGACGCTTGTTTAATGACGAACAGCGACATCTCGTGGCCTTCTTATAGTTTGCCTGTTCAACTAAATATCGAGCAAAACCTTGAATTAGGAAGCGTTAGAAGAGGAACCAGAGAGATGTTCTCAAATTAGCATTACTGATATTATTCATTAATCTTTTTTTGGTCCATTTAATATTTAAAAATGTAATTTTCATCACATCTTCAGTTCTTTCTTGTGTCATGTTAAGTTTTTATAGAATCTACAGCCTCCTAGAAGGTCTGAATTGTTTAGCTCTTTAGCTCTTTTTTGTTTAGGTCTTTATATGTGTGTATATATATATATATATATATATATATATATATATATATATATATATATATATATATATATATATATATATATATATATATATATATATATATTTTAAACAAATAAGATAATGAGTTAAGCTTTTTAATCCTTTTCCTATCCATTGCACTGGTTTCTGTATTAGTGCCAGTAATTCACTAATAACTTATTAGCTTCCCATTTTTATTTTACTTTTTTATTGTGCCATAAGTACCCCCCCTTAGTCAAACATGTTATTTTCCAAAAATAGAAAGTACAACTGCTTATAAAAAGAAAATATTTATTTCCTTAACTTCAACATTTAATTCTTGAACGGTATAGAATTATTAATAGAGTTGTGAAATTCTTAGTTAACAGTCTATTTAAGATGGAAGTATTTTAGTAGGGTCCATTCTTCTTTACTTCAATTCTCTAAGAATCACCAGAATATAGAAAATATTGTATAGTGAGTGAAAACTTTTCCACATAACTACAGATAACTTATTGGTATTTAGTAACATTTACTGTGCTACAAAATTCCAAAGTTTGACACTTAGTTTCAGTTAAATCCTCTGAAAACCTACAACCTAAAGCTGCACCAATCCTCAGAGCCTTTCAATCTAACCCTGAGGGTTGCTTGTCCAAACTTTCAACATCTCACTCCACGTTTTGGTGAAAATTTGGCAGCCCTGCAACCTTTGTTACAAATATTTAGCTTATTCACTTATAAAAAAAAAAAAAAAAAAAAAATCATTGTGTTATTTGAATCGTTGTGAATCATCATCAATATTATATTCATTTTAGAGTTCTTTATGTGCCCAAATCCATATAGTTAAAGGGAAGCCCAACAACAGCCATGTCTCCCTCCGCCGCGGAGGGAGACATGGCTGTTGTTGGGCTCGCTGTCTGAATGACGGCGCGCACTGATACGAACAGAGAGAAAATAGGACCAATTGATAACGACGTGTGACTTTTTCCACTACAATGTTTTTGGGATGCGAAAATATCACTCTTTTGAACACATAATGTTTTGGGAAGAGAAAAGTTTTATTTCGCTGTTCCTAAAAACCTGCCGGACTACTTTTGGCTTGACCAAAACTGGACGATAACTCTGCTCACAGGACGCTGCCAGGGGTAAGTCAGTGTGATTGCATGACACTGGTGATGGGGATGCCATACAGATTCATGTCAAAAATACCGAACTATCCCTTTAAGGAAATTATACAATTAAAGAAAATCTTGAAAGTTTGAGCTCATTTTATGTAGTTCACATTCTTACCACTAGAGGGAAGCACAGAAACATATTTGTGCATCCCATTGGAGTCAGCAGAATCATGTCAAGGTAAAATAGGTAAAAAATCAAACCCTCAGCTTTCAAGATAAAAATGCATTTCCTGTTTTATCAGTTAGGCAGCAGGTTTCCTTCTGGAGTAATTCAACACGATAATGTTTTATATTTTATATAATAAATAACATAAATGACAGTGAATGAAAGCTGTAGGAGGCATTTAAAGGAAGTATAACAGGGAGAATTGTAATAATTAGATGGTGAATTTATGCATAATATCCCGTTTAATCTTTAAAAAGCTTGTGTTTTCTTATATCAGTGTACATCTGTGTTTAAATGTAAGGATTGGCTAAATATAGCAACAATTATTATGCTGTTGAAGATTTTCAGTCATCCAGGTCATGCAAGTTTGAAGACGTTTCGCTTCCCATTCAGAAAGTTTTCTCAATTCAAAATGTCTGGAGTAATGTGGATAGCTTTTTTAGAATAGCCCAACAAAGAAAACACGCAAATTGAACCAAAATAGTTCCAATCCTTGTAATGGGGAGTTGTTAAGGTGGTTGTTGGTAGTGTTGGACCAATACCGATACCGATAAAGATACCACCAGACACCATCACTAAAATGGTGGATCGGTATCGGTGAGTACCGATAAATAGGGCACTGATACCATTTTGAGAGCCAAAAGTTTATTCAACTATTGTCACCCATTCTAGGTAGGCAATAAAAAGTTCTAATGGATTCACTTTGTATTAGTCTTTTTCCTGCTTCACAAAGGTGGGAAGCAGCTTGACAAAGTCATGATGGTAATTATTCTACATCCAAGTAGTAGGCAGTTCTACATATATACATACACATCAATTTCAAACAGATGGTATCGGTATCGGCCGATACTGCACAGCCAGGTATCGGGGCCAAAAAAATGGCATCGGCGCAACACTCTGCAGATTTAACTGAAAATGGCCCACGTCTCTCTAATGAGGAGTTGTTAGGGTCGGGCTACTCCGTAGAGCAGTGGGTAGCACTGCTGCCTTGCTGCAAGAAGGTTCTGGGTTTGATTCCTGGCTGGAGATCTTTCTATTTGTGGGAAGTGTTTGCCTAGTGGTTAGAGCAGTGATCCTGTGCTCTGAGAAGGTTGCAAATACCCGGTTTGATCCCCACAGGTTTGTGGGTTAAATGCAGAGAGGGAATTTCATTGCTTTGTACTTGACAATATAATAATGACAATAAATAAAAAAATTAAAAATGACAATATTCTATTCCTTATTGGCCTGGCTTACCAGAGCGATGTTTTGCACTTACTGAAAACAATGTATAACATCGCTCTGACAAGTCACCCCGACCACCATAGGTGATCAAAGATCAATAACAACCCTAACGACTCCCCATTAGAGAGGCATCCCAACACAACAGGCCTACCTGCAGGCCAACACAACATTAACAATCCTGCATTTGAATTTGCATGTTTTCTAAGCCATAACAAGGCTTTTGTTGGGCTATTCTATAAAGCCTGGAGATGCATACTACTCCAGACATTTTGATTTGTGAAAACTTTCTGTCTTCAAACTTGGGGGGAAAAAAAGTCTAGTGGTTTTGTTATTAACTTTTTTTTTTCTTTGGAAGAAAGATTATAATCCAATTTGTAAGGTCACCAGCTGTCATGGACGCCTTTTCATCACCTGCCTGCTTTACCTGTATGGAGGAGCAATCCTGCCATAATTAAAAACAAATACAGAAATAAATACATTCTCCAAACATAAACAAGCATACAATTAATTGCCCCCCAAAAATACAATAAACAAATAAATGTAGATAGAAATTAAACCAAGCAATCTTGAGAAAGGATGAATAAACCAGACCAAAATATAGCATGCACAAAAATAAATACTTAAAGGAGAAGTTCGGTTTTTTACACTTTAAGCCCATTTTCTGTAGTGTCCAGAATAAAATCGAATGATCGACATTGAGTTCTGTAGGAATAGTCAATATTCCCCTGCCACCGGAAACGGAAATGGGGCCTGTTTACACAGTTGTAGTCTTTTCGCTTCACTCTGTGTACTCTGACGTCGAGGTGCTAACGTCTCTGTTAAACACTTTAAAAAACTCTGAAAATGGAATACGAAAGGTGGATTCTTGATTCTCGACGTCGGAGTACACAGAGTGAAGCGAAAAGACTACAACTGTGTAAACAGGCCCCATTTCCGTTTCCGGTGGCAGCGGAATATTGACTATTCCTACAGAACTCAATGGGATTTACAAAATGCTAAATAAAACACTACAGGAACGTTTTTTCTTCACGAAACTTTTTTTGGAACGTCATTGAACAGCGCTGACGACACGGTGAGTAGCATATTTTAAAAAAAGAATGTTTAAGGTTGTTTTAAGGACATTATCGGACATGCTCTATGCTAGCCATTCTAAAGCAGCCAGGGGGTGATTCTAAATGAGCCAAAAAGCAGAGACAGGACCAATTGTCAAAATTTTGGTGTCGATCATTCGATTTCATCCTGGACACTACAGAAAATGGGCTTAAAGTGTAAAAAACCGAACTTCTCCTTTAAAGAAATAAGCAATAAATTAGTTGCTTTTTGTATCTCTGCTTCTTTCTCTTTGAACCCCAGTCGCCCTCAGCAGATGGCCGCTCACACTGAGCCTGGTTCTGCTGGAGGTTTCTTCCTGTTAAAAGGGAGTTTTTCCTCTCCACTGTCACTACAAGCATGCTTTAGTGTGAGGGATTGCATTCAAGTCAATGAGTCAATGCAATCAACTGGTTTTCCTTAGATAGAAAACTTTAAATCAATTTGACTGTATGATCTGGTGAAATGTAAAGTGCCTTGAGATGATGTGTTTTGAATTCGTGCTATATAAATAAACTGAATTGAATTGAATAAATAAATAAAGTTCAAGATTATAACGGACAATAAATAAATAAGGGTGAAAAAAAGAAGCTAATTAAAAGAGATACATATATTTATGTCTCACTTTATAATTTAATTTCTATCTACATTTATTTGTTTATTGTATTTTTTTTTTTTGGGGGGGGGGGCAATTAATTGTATTCTTATTTATTTTTGGAGCATTTATTTTTTTCTGTATTTATTTTTAATTATGGCAGGATTGGTCCTCCATATTTTTGAGTCTTTTTTGCCTCTAAATTAGCGTTTGGTTTGATCACTGTCTTGTCTAAATTGCATCATTATTGGATTTTTGGTACAAAGAGGATATTTCCAAATTTTTATAATCTATAATCAAATTTAGACTGGTGCAGACCGATTTCTGTCAAAAAGCGCCACACCTTTCCAACTTTTTATCGCAACAATGTGGGTTTTATTTTGAAAGGTCAAAGCGGAAGTAATCATAGGTGTTTGATGCAACTTGTTGATGCTGAGCTTCATGTAAAAAGTAACGGAACCGGGCCGTTCCGCGGCTGCATGCCAGAAAGTTGTTTTTTATATACCTAAAAACATTTAAACTGATGAGTTTGAACGTAACTTTTGAAGTTTGGGAAAAGGCTGAATTGTCCCCAACGTGAGGAGTAAACTTTATTTATGTGCGCGTCATCATGAGCTGCAAACTCAGGCCAGATGATAGAGGAAAACAGGCGGAGCGCAGAATAATGGAGACGGACTGAAACAGATTAAAGATGAACTTCGGCGTCCCTGCCAACTCGCTGCTGCTCCTCCGTGCCTGCGATGAGGGGGACTATGAAACAGCGCGGGGCCTCCTGGAGCCAGGGGCCCCCAGAGAGTGTGGCCGGCAGAGCAGGCTGCGCTCTGAAGCGGGCTCTGAGTGCGCGGCCCCGGACGCGGTGTCCCTGGTACCGGTGGACTGTACGGACGAGGAAGGAAACACCGGCCTGCAGTTCGCCTCTGCCAGCGGCCACGAGAACCTGGTCCGGTTCCTGCTGCGGAAGGGAGCCTCGGTGGACAGCCGCAACAACTACGGCTGGACTCCGCTGATGCAGGCTGCGAGGTGGGGCTGGAGCTCCAGTCTAGATCTTTAGAACCCTTCACTTTTTAAAGATACATTAAAGGGATTTTAAATGTATTCTAGTTAAAGGGAGTTATATATACCATTTTAATTTCTGTGAAATCAATCAGATTCAAATAAGAGTCAGTGTTTCATCTTTGGCCAACATCCCATGACTTTTTTTTTCGACTGACTTCTATGGAAGAGGATTAGGGCCACTGAAAAAATAATATAATAAAATAATATGATAAGAATGTGGCGCAGCAGTGCCACTGGGTAGCACTGGGTTCGATTCCCGGCCCACGGTCTTTCTGCATGGAGTTTGCATGTTCTCCCTGAGCATGCATGGGTTCTCTCCGGGTACACCAGCTTCCTCCCAAAGTCCAAAAACATGACTGTTAGGTTAATTGGCTTCTCTACAGTCCCCTTAGGTGTGAGTGTGTGAATGGTTGTTTGTACTGTTTGTCTCTGTGTTGCCCTGCCATGGTCTGGCGAACTGTCCAGAGTGTACTTTGCCCTTTGACTGCTGGAGATAGGCACCAGCTCCCCTCGCGACCCCACTCGGGATAAGCGTGCTAAAAGATGGATAATAAAAATGTCAGAATTCTGACTTTAATCTCACGATTTTTACTTTTTTTCCCTCAGAATTCTTACTTTAATCTCAGAATTCCAACTGTTATCTCAGAATTCTGACTTTAATCTCACTATTTTGACTCTTTTTTTTCCCTCAGAATTCTGACTTTATCTCACACTTTTGACTTTTTTTTCTCAGAATTCTGACTTTAATCTCACGATTTTTACTTTTTTTCCCTCAGAATTCTGACTGTAATCTCAGAATTCTGACTTTAATCTCACAATTCTGACTTTTTTTCTAAGAATTCTAACTTTTTTTCTCGGAATTCTGACTTTAATCTCACGATTTATATATTTTTTTCCTCTCAGAATTCTCACTTTAATCTCACGATTTTTACTTTTTTTCCCTCCGAATTCTGACTTTAATCTCACGATTTTGACTTTTTTTCCCTCAGAATTCTGACTTTAATCTCAGAATTCTGACTTTTTTGTCAGAATTCTGACTTTAATCTCAGAATTCCAACTGTAATCTCAGAATTCTGACTTTAATCTCAGAATTCTGACTTTTTTTCTTAGAATTCTAACTTTTTTTCTCGGAATTCTGACTTTAATCTCACGATTTATATATTTTTTTCCTCTCAGAATTCTCACTTTAATCTCACAATTCTGACTGTAATCTCAGGCTTCTGACTTTAATCTCAGAATTTTGACTTTTTATCTCACAATTCTGACTTTAATCTCAGAATTCTGAGTTTTTCTCATAATTTTGACTTTAATCTCACAATTCTGACCCTTTCTCAGAATTCTGACTTTAATCTCAGAATTTTGACTTTTTATCTCACAATTCTGACTTTAATCTCAGAATTCTGACTTTTTCTCAGAATTTTGACTTAAATCTCTCAATTCTGACCCTTTCTCAGAATTCTGACTGAATTCTCACAGCTAACAAACATGTTAGCATCAAGCCGTAGCCATGTCTGTTTTAGAGACTAGCTCTCTTGTTTTAATCACCTTCTGCTCTTCCATTAATGAAATAGCATCACCGGGGGACCCCTCGTGCACGTAAAAAGTGTCCTAATTTTTTCCACCAATGTGTTACTGGACCTTCCAAACAACAAACAAATATTTGTCAGTGAAGCAGAATGCTCCCACATCTCTTCCTTCATGGTGCCCATCTACATTAAAAAAATAAAAAAATCTGAGATTAAAGTCAGAATTCTGACCTTTTTTCCTCATGTTAAACTGAAATAATATTAAAAAATCTGTTAACTTTTTTTTTTTAGTAGCCCTAATCGTCTTATCTAGACTTCTATTCTTACTTAAAAAATGCTTTTTTTTTAGGATAAAAGTTACATTCCCTAAAGAGCCTGATGACAACATATAAATCAAACAGTTCTTTTTAGGCTTGTCCCGATCCGATCCACGTATCGGATCGGGACGCCGCAAAAAAATGCGTATCGGCAAAGCATGTAAAATGCCGATCCAGACTGCCGATCCAGTTTAAAAAAAAAAATCCGGTCCATATTTTCCAGTTTCGCCGATTGAAACGATCCATTCCACTATTTTGCGCCAGTGTTTCCCTGTTTTGCATTTTTATTAAAACTTACAGTAATACTTGCACCTTTAACTGTTTACGGTTTTACTGTTCACTGTGCAATTTCAGATTGCTATTCGTAATTTTGTCCAGTTTGTGTTTATCTCTTAATAAACAGGTAAGTTTGTTGTTACCAAGCATTGTGTTTTATTCAATCTCACCTAATTCAGCTGGCTAGATGTTATCAAGAGTACTAAAACCCTTTTCAACATGAGTCTTACAACTAAGGCTAAATACTTTAACTTAAACTTAAATACATGCTCGGATAGGCTGGTATCGGCCAGTATCGGTATCGGATCGGAAGTGCAAAAACCTGGATCGGGACATCTCTAGTTCTTTTTTTTATAGCCTCATAAACAGAGATGCCTAAATGCATTTTTACTAAAGTATCCATTTAACCTCCATTTAACATGCATTGTTTAAGTTAAGTTTAAGTTTTTGATGAATGTTTCTGTCTTGTGTAGTGTTTGTTGTTATTGTGTCATAGATATCAAAATAATCAGTATTGGCATTGGCCTGGAAAAAAAACTATTAAAACTTCTAAGTAATGTTCATCAATCACAATTTGTTGTTAACTATCAGAAATGCTTCTTATTTAGCTGTTTTCGTTTATAAAGTTTAGCTGTACTTTATGGTGACGTTTTAGACAATTTAGGTTATTTTTTGGTTTTAATTTATATTGCACTACAGTGTTATTTTTTTACAATTTGTTCCTCTTTCATTGTTTTTTATATATATCATTTTTGTTCAATCTGTTTAAAGGAGTTTCAGTAATAAAGTCAATTTTAACAAAAAAACACCACAGTTAAAATACTTTGCGTTCTTCCTGTAGGTTCGGACACCTGACAGTTGCTCACATCCTCCTGGAGAACGGGGCGGAGATAAATGGCCGCAACAGGTTAGGCGCCAGCGTCCTCTCCATGGCGGCCCGTGGGGGCCACGTCCATGTGGTCAAGCTGCTCCTGGAGAGCGGGGCCTACGTCGATGACTTCGATCACCTGGCCCTAGCTGCAGAGGCCATCTCCAACGGCAACAACAACAACAGCTGCAGGTAATTTGACTGTCGGCAGCGGCTAATGCAGGGGAATGACGGGCGGCGCTCTGTGAGCGCTCTCTGATTTGGCTGTGTGTGTTTTCCAGCAGCGTCTCTGGATTTGGACCTGCTGAGGGCTGTCCAGGGGGAGCAGGAGGAGGCAGGGATTTCATGGACATCACGGCCCTGATGGTGGCGTCCCAGCATGGTCACGAGGCCACTGTCCGCCTGCTGCTAGAGTGGGGCTCTGATGTCAACTTTTCCCAGAAGACCACCGGCTGGGGACCGCTGATGGCGGCCACGCTCAGCGGGAAGGTGAGTCTGATTGATTATTCCCGCCCCTTTGTTTCACTCCTGGTATCTGACTCGTGCAACATGTTCTGAAGGAGGTGGTGGCCCAGCAGCTGGTGGAGCGGGGTGCCGACCCCGACCGGGTCAACGTTCTGTCCAAGACGGCTTTTGAACTAGCCATGCAGATGAAACAGAGAGACATCAAGGCTTATCTGGACCCCATTACCACCGTCAGACCTCAGACAGGTACAGCTTCACTAATATCGCACAACAAAAGTATTCACACCCCTTTAATAGCTATGCTTTTTATTCTTTTAGATGTTCTTTTGGTGCTCACAGATTTTCTCCATCCACTCTGATTGAGCTCATAGCAAACTAGAATATGCACAAGAAAGACTTGCAGCAAAATTCTGTTTTAATATAAAGCTGCACCAAATTTGTAAGATGTTTTTTTCAACTTTGCAATTGTTGGTTACAACAATGTGGCAACATCCATGTTAAAGGAATACAGTAGTACACCCAAAACATGATTAGCCTTCATTTTCTACTCACCCCCATGCTGAACAACACTCTGGAGTACTTTTATGATATCTCAAATGCATCTGGAGATCTGGGAGGCTTCTTGCTGTCTGCTGACATTCAAATAATGGAGGTCTACGGTGCCCGAGGCAGAAAGGTCCATAAAAGTCCACAAAAAACGTGTCAATATTCCTCCATACTGCTCGTCCAATGTATTCCAAGTGTCCTGAGTGGGTAGCGTCCATAATTTACTCGAAACAAAGTCATTTAGAATGTTTTTAGAGCATAAACAGTAGTGTATAGGATTTCCTAAAAGCGTGCGCCTGCGCGTTCACGACGCAACGGAAACTGCGGCAGACCAAACCAGACGAAAGTGCGCATTCAGCGTCTGCTCTGCCGATAATGCAAGCGTAGAAGAAGAAATGTGCTGTTTACCTGTGCAAAGAAAGAAACAACGAAAGAAAAATGTCTGAGGACTTCAGTGTTGAGGAAGAGCATGAGTTCTTTGCCGAGCTGAATGCGCACTTTCGTCTGGTTTGGTCTGCCACGGTTTCCGTAGAACGCGCTTTTAGGAAATCCTACACACTACTGTTTATGCTCTAAAAACATTCTAAATGACTTCGTTTAGAGTAAATTATGGACGCTACCCACTCAGGATACTTGGAATACATTGGACGAGCAGTATGGAGGAATATTGACACGTTTTTTTGTGGACTTTTATGGACATTTCTGTCTCGGGCGCCATAGACCTCCATTATTTGAATGTCAGCAGACAGCAAGAAGCCTCCCAGATCTCCAGATGCATTTGAGTAAAAGTACTCCAGAGTGTTGGTCAGCATGGGGGTGAGTAGAAAATGAAGGCTAATCATGTTTTGGGTGTACTGTTCCTTTAAACGGTTTTAACTTACCCAATAGGAGAACATTTAAGGTGTGAATATGTGGACAAAAAGAGAAAATATAAGCTGTTATCTCAGAATAAAGCATTAATTTCTGACTGGGTTACTGCAAAAAATATCTAAAAATAAGTAAGAAGTTTTTATAAGTTTATTTATCCTTAATTTGACTAGGTTAATTAGATGATCTGCTAATGGAATGATTATTTTTAGTCTTAAATAAAATACTTAGATATTATGCACTTTAAATAAGACAATGCAATTCTTTGCTTCTTATTTTAAATGTAAGTTGTTTTATTTCATTGGCAGTGTCTCACTTACCTGCTTAATTAAAAAGAAATCAATTTATTTGAAGAAAAACTGACACAGATTTAAATAGTTTGCATTAAGGATGAAACAATTAATCGGATTAGTCCTGATTAATCTACTATTGTCAACTTATATAGTAATTAATTAATCATAAACTGGAGTATAGAAAGTCTAAAACATGCCTTTAGCTGTCAGAGAAAAGCAATTATGCCAAAATTGCAAAAAAAATATGTAAACATTTTGCCTTTAAGATAAAAAAACAAACAAACTTTTGATTGGTTTAATTTCGTAAAAAGTCTTCTTTAAGGATCTTTTTGCCGTCTAATTTAAACAATTCATTGAAAAAATAATCGACAGATTCATCGTTTTGCAAAATAATCGTCATTTGCGGCCATAGTTTGCAGTGTTGGAATTTTCCTTAAACATTTACCACCCTGAAGGTTTAAAACAGCAGAGGAAGCCTTCCTTCCCACCTCTTTGTTTCTGTGACAGTGCAGGGCGGTTAACGGTAGCTTTACAGCGGATCATTACAGCCTGTGATCTTTAACAGCTTTTTAGCTTCGTTTACTGACACTAAGGCCATGGATCAGCCTTCAGCTCTTTATAGTTATTTTCTTTAGTCACTTTCCTGTTTCTCTTTCTCTACTCTGGTAGTTTTGTCCATATTTTCCTAAGCGATGAACTCTGCTGTAATCGGAATATGTGTACACAACCGCCCCGATGGCTGAGCTATGTGGAGTGTCGCCAAGCAGGTCTGTGTTTTTCTAGACGAGAAATCTGCTCTGCTCTCAGCTTTACTCTTTTCTTTTACAGACGATGAGAGGAAAAGGCCAGACGTGTTCAGTGCTCTCAAACTGGGTGAGCTCACTCCATCAAAGCACACCAAAATTTAGTTTTTGTGTGTTTTTTTGTTCCTTTAAAGTTTGCTTATGCATTTTTAAATGTGAGATTTGTCACATTTCTGACAGGAAATTCCCAGCTTGTGAAAGACATTTTGGAGGAGGATCCGGCTCAGGTGAATTCCTCCAATCAGGATGGAGCGTCGCCCCTCATGATGGCGGCGGTGAGCGGGCAGTTGGAGGTGGTGCAGCTGATGGTGGAGAAGAAAGCCGACGTAGACAAACAAGACTCTGTTCACGGCTGGACCGCGTTAATGCAAGCGACGTATCACGGGTAAGCAGGAGGTTGGCGGCGGGGGCACCGATAGCAGATTTCTGGCCAAAAAAATTTTTTAAATAAACTATTTTGGTAGATACAGGTTTTATGTTATATAATTTAAAGTATAGAGAAAGATTTTTGAAAAGACTCGCCCTCTCTACTTGCAAAAAAAAAATGTTTATTCACAATCCTGCCCCCGCTCCTGATAGGGAACGCTTATTAAATGCGTGCGATAGCGTGCAAGAGCCCATTGGAAGAGGATTAGTGCCACTGAAAAAAAAAAAAAAGTTAACTGATTTTTACATTTTATTTCAGTTTAACATGGGAAAAAAAGTCAGAATTCTGACTTTTTTCTCAGAATTCTGAGTTTTTTTCTAAGAATTCTGTCTTAAATCTCAGAATTCTGACTTTAATCTCAAAATTCTGTCTTAAATCTCAGAATTCTGACTTTTTTCTCAGAATCCTGTCTTTAATCTCAGAATTCTGACTTTTTTCTCAGAATTCTGTCTTTAATCTCAGAATTCTGACTTTAATCTCAGAATCCTGTCTTTAATCTCAGAATTCTGACTTTTTTCTCAAAATTCTGTCTTTAATCTCAGAATTCTGATTTTTTTCTCAGAATTCTGACTTTAATCTCAGAATTCTGTCTTTAATCTCAGAATTCTGTCTTAAATCTCAGAATTCTGTCTTTAATCTTAGAATTCTGATTTTTTTCTCAGAATTCTGACTTTATTCTCAGAATTCTGTCTTTAATCTCAGAATTCTGACTTTTTTCTCAGAATTCTGTCTTTAATCTCAGAATTCTGACTTTAATCTCGGAATTCTGACTTTAATCTCAGAATTCTGTCTTTAATCTCAGAATTCTGACTTTTTTCTCAGAATTCTGACTTTAATCTCGGAATTCTGACTTTAATCTCAGAATTCTGTCTTTAATCTCAGAATTCTGACTTTTTTCTCAGAATTCTGTCTTTGATCTCAGAATTCTGACTTTTTTCTCAGAATTCTGACTTTTTTCTCAGAAATCTGACTTTTTTTCTCAGAATTTTGGATCTTAATGTAGATGGGCGCCATGAAGGAAGAGATGTGGGAGCACTCAGCTTCACTAACAAAGATGTGAGTTGCTTGAGAGAGCCAGTAACACATTGGTGGAAAATGACGGAATTAGGCAACTTTTTACATGCCCGAGGTGTCCCCTCATTAATGGAGGAGCAGAAGGTTATTAAAACAAGAGAGCTAGTCTCTAAAACAGACATGGCTATGGCTTGATGCTAACATGTTTGTTAGCTGTAAAAATTCTGAGAAAAAAGTCTGAATTCTGAGAATATATGAAACTGAAATAAAATTTAAAAATCAGTTAACTTTTTTTGGCCCTAATCCTCTTCCGTACATTTCTCCTCGTGCACGCCCTGTATAAAAGTTGCTGTTTGCATCACTCATACAAGCTTACTTTCCAAAAGAACATTTGCAATTTTTCCACTATATCAAACCCACCACCGGTAAATGAAAATGGAGACGAGCACGTAGGAGGGCCTTACGTTACGGGCCTTACGCCCTTATTGATTTAGATGATCCACTCAGAAAAAGAACATCCTCCACTAAACCTTTAACACTGTTAGGTGTTAGTTATATGTCACATTTTAGCTTCAATGCTGAAATGTTATTTTATATTGTTAAAAAACATTGCATATTGCCTGTGAAATAATATAAACACATTTTATCTGCACAGGAGGCAGTGCTATCAAGTCTAAATAAAAGGATTAGAGCATTAGCTGTGGCTTAATTTCACGCCCTAACTGTCCTCCAGATACTTTCCAGAGACTTGCACATTTTTTCCAGTAGGTTTTTAAAAAAAAAATTTTTCCTGTGCAGCTGCAATTCGGTTCATATGAATGTAGGTATTTAAATGTGAAAATCTGGCCAACTTTCTAAACCTTTTTGTTGCTTTGTTGAAATAAAGAGAGCATGAATCAGAGCTACCATTTGAATAAAGTGTTTCTATTAACATGACCTCTTTCCTGTTTTAATTTGCTTATTGCTCTTCTGATAATAAAGAGTTTAATGGGAGGTAAAAGGATTAATTTTAAGGGTCAGTTTCACTACCTGATCCGTCCCAGACGCACGATCCATACCATCAGCTCATTTACTCATATGCTACCAAATATAAATCCGGGTCGCCCTCGATTCTAATTTGTAAAAAAGACCTAAATTACGTTCTTCCCTAGCTTACTAAACTATAATGTGTTAAATGTTAATAATGTATTTACTGAGTAAATAAATATCTTAAAATTGTTTGCATTTTCTCACTCTGTACTGGTAATGGGATCCTACGCTATGTCCAGGAGCTAACATTTTCGGCCCTGAGATTTAAACATAAATATATTTTTTTGAGTTTTTTTTTTGTTTCATGTTAACATTATGGTATACAGTGCATAACCGAAAGAAAGAAACAACTAAAATGCAGACAAACATGGTTTAATCATATTTTGCCGGACTGCTCTGGAAATGTCTGATGATGACGTCAGAAAAGCAGTTTAACGGGGAAAAAGCATAAAAATTGTCTCATAAAATACATCAAACATTTTTTTAAGATGTGTATTAGCATCCTTTATTGAGTTAAGGATAGAAATAAGTAACCTGGATGTATATCTGGTTGCGACAGTGCCTTTAGCTGAAAGAGCGACCCATTTAGAGCACTAATTATACCAAAAATGTAAAAAAAAATTTAAAATGTTTCATTTAAAATAAAAAACCTTTTTCAGCCGCCAATATGCTCTATCCAGAACTCCTCAAGTGGAAAAGTTTTAGTTCCACCTGGTTTAATTAAGTAAAAAGTCCTCTTTAATGAACCTTTTACTCTCCGATTATTAATTGATTAATTGAAAAAATAATCAACGGATTAATCAATTTGCAAATTAATTGTTAATTGATAATCTGCATCTTTGCTACCCTTTACACCTGATCATCTCCTTCTCCTCCTCTTTGTTCTCCCCCCCAATCTTTCATTTAGCAATAAAGACATCGTCAAGTACCTGCTGAGTCAAGGCGCTGATGTGAACCTGCAAGCTAAGAATGGATATACGGCCTTTGATTTGGTTATGCTGCTCAATGACCCAGGTAGACCTTCTAAATGTCACTCTTTTTCTCTCTTTCTTTTAAATCTGGTTACAGCAGATATATATAAATTCCTTCATAGTGTTAAAAAAATCATATATATAAGATAAAATGGTAAATTTGTGTACATCAGTCATACATTTGCATTGTTAGACTATCTATTCTCATTCGAGCCCAAAGGCAAACTTAGAAACCGGTATAAAGTAATCTTGCTAAAATAGTGTAATTTATGACTAAACTTGCACTTTGCACTTTATTCCTCATTTTTGCCAGACACTGAGCTGGTTCGTCTCTTAGCGTCGGTCTGCATGCAAGTGGACAAGGACAAATCCAAACAGCGAGGGAGAGTCTTTATCAGCCGCTCCAAAAGCAGACAGTCCCTCAACAACATCCCCGTCCCGCCTGATGACAAGGGAGGCTTGAAGGTAAAGGGGAAGATAAGAAGTATTCATCACTCTACTTTGTGCTGGTTTATCATGCAAAGTCCTAATAAAATCAGTTCCAGTTGTGTTTGACAATGTGTGAGAAGTTTCCAGAGGTGTAAATACTTCTGCATGGTGCTGAAACTGCAGCATTTTATGATCTACTACAACCTACAGAGGTGTTCACTGGTGATGGGTGGATGAGGCGTAATGAAGCGTTTCCACACGTTGCCAAACTGTATTGACACTGCCTTCATATTGGGTCACTCAATAAAAAAAAAAAAAAACTAAAAAAGTGACTGACCTACTGCAATAATATATTTTAAGTCATTTTATCTCATATTTCATCATGTATTTATTACCTCTGTTTATATTGAAACTGTTTGATATATTTAGATGCAGTCAATAAAAAAGTCTATGAGGATGATTGTGGACTAGGATTAGAAAAAGAATGAAACAATAAGTACAGTAATTTCAGTAAATAAAAAATCTGTTTGAATTTAATTTCAATTCTGATAACTCGTGTGATACCTGGGAGGAACGGGATAACACAACAATAAAATTAACTCAAATATGAGATTAAAATGGTCCAACATGGCTGAAATTGTTCCTTTGCCTTGACGCTGCTCCATATTTTTGATGAATTTGATAAAAAAAACCGACACAGGGTTTTTCGCTCAATGATCTCGCTTCATGCATTGATGCATTGGTGTTGCTGGACCCATCACTAGTGTTCACCTCTTGCAGTCTTGGTGGAGCAGGATGTCCAATCGCTTCCGGAGGCTGAAGCTGACTCACACTCTGAGGCACGGCCTGTCGACCAATCGTCTGGCTCCGTTTCCAGACGATGCAGAAACTCCGCTGGATTCTACAATGAGGGCCGAGGCGAAGGCGGCCGCCATGTCTAACGGTGCGCCGGCAGCTGCTGCTGCCCTGGGAGGGAACGACATGAGCGCCGCTTGGGCAGGCATGACCAAAGACGCTGGTGAGATGTCCTTTTTATTCATCATCCTAAAGCATGTGAACAACACTTGACTGGAGATGTTGTTGAATATCTACAGTGGAAAACTCAATTTAACACTGATTCGAATTTGTCTCGATCTTTTAGCGGGACACTGCAGAACATCCTCTGAAAAGGAAGACTTTCTAATAACCACAATGGTAAGAATCTTTGCTTTAAAATATTAGCTTAATGGACAGCTGAGTGTCTCCACTGTATGACGAAAAAGTTTGTATCTGTGAATAGAGATGCAATGATCAGAATCTTTAATCTTATTCCAATCTCTGCTTTTTGTTAAGATCTGTGTTCTTCTGAGCTCTTAATTAAAATTTTTAAATGTAAATATATTTTTACACTTCTGCTGCAACAGAATTAGTGTATGTTTTAGAGAACAAAGTCTGGTTATGCTTCCAAATTGAGACAGTTGAGTGCTAAGAAAAAAAACTTTGCTCTGAAATATTCAGCCTTCCTGTTATCTTCTAAAAGCCTTGCTCTCTCTCCTACTTTGCTGCAGCCTAAATAATTTGTTGTCTCAGGGTAGGATTGTAGATCTCTGTGCTTTCATTAAATTGATTTAAATACCTCGCTTTATTTGAAACAAGCTTCAGTCTTGGCACTTTAGAGATTTCAAATAAGAGCCTTTTTTTAGAACACGCAGTAAGTAGGGGAGCTGTAGGTGATCTATTTGCTACAAAAATGTTAAGATGTGCAAACTGGTTTGGGTCTGCTCATTATAATTATTAATTAAAATATTGGCCTAGTGGTTAGAGTTGTGTGCTTGTGCTCTGAGAACGTTGCAATTTCGATCCCCACAACCCCCACTCTGGGTTTCTGAGCAAAAGACTAAACCCCACACTGCTCCCTGGGTGCCGCACAATGGCAGCCTACTGCTCCCCAAGGGGATGGGTCAAATGCAGAGGTAAATTTCTCCAATGTGAGATGAATCAAGTTCTATTATTATTATTTATTAAAAGGAGCAGATGGCATATTTCACTGACACTCAGAGAGTGGCTGAAAAAGAAAGAAGAACTTCTAAGCCATGTAGTTTGAGGTAATAGTTATAATTGTTTGAAAAAAGGCATATATATATATATATATATATATATATATATATATATATATATATATATATATATATATATATATATTTGACATGTGCAGATCCGATATTACTGAATGCACTAGGCAGTATTAAAGAAAATTGTTGATCAAGTTTACATAAAAGGGGGCAGATCTATAGGGAAAGATCTACTCTGTCTACTTCTTGGACAGCAGGAATATTTCCCCTTTGATGGACACCTGTCTTTGATTAGATAAGTACTGTACAGTTAATTAAATCATTACAGTTAGATATTTGATTTGTTTTCCGGATGACATTTGTTTTCCATTAACACGATTTATTGTTTTTATGGATTCCTTTTCTGACCTTATATTAATGTCAGGTTGTTGAGACGGAGCTCTGATATCGGAAAACTTTCGGGTTCTATTTAAATTCTTGTCGGTCAGCAAGATCTGGTTGCTCATTGGTTCAGTGTGTTTTCAGATCAGAAATGGATATAACTTTTAACTGGGTTAATTTGTGTTAGTGGTTAATTTTGAATACTTTAACAATATAATATAATATAATATATGTATAATATTATATAATCATGTTCTGCATTTTGTTTCTCCTTAAGCTGAGGAGTGGTGCTCCTCTGACCCGGCTGCCAAACGATAAACTGAAAGCTGTGATTCCTCCTTTTTTGCCTCCGTCTAACTTTGAGCCGTGGAACTCCGACCGCTCCCATTTCCTCCGAGATGGAAAGAGCGAAGCTCCTCGCCTGCCGATGCCTCCTCAGAGGAAGCTCAACAGCAGTGGGAACTCGGATATTGTGAGTGGGAAGAAGTTTCCCTCTGGAAGCTATAAGGTTCATGTGTCTAACCTCAAGTCTGTTTCTGCTATCCTCTTCTATCTGCTTTCTTTTAGACGTCCATAAGTCGTGTCGTTAATAGGTCCGTTAAGTTCCCGAGCATCCCTAAAGGACCCTCCTCATCCTCACCCTCTAATTCTGGTCACTATCACTCTCCTCACTCCTCTGGAGGATCGAATGGAGTAGCAGGGATCAACCGGGAGTCTCACAACCGCTCAGGTGCAAACAAGCACGTTAGTAATTGGAAGCAATGGCCACTATGCTCTCTGATTCAAACCAGTGAACTTTTTTGTTGGGTCCACCAGGGGGCAGCGCAGACAGCGTTCTCTCTCAGATAGCGGCCCAGCGGAAAAGAGCTGCTTGTCTGCTGGAGGGTAAGACCCAAATAGCGGAGAAACAGCAGAACCCGCCTCCTGTGTCGGCTTCATCCCCCGTCAGACTGCCTGACATCCCGTCCAACCCCAGCCTGGTGGCCTCAGACCTCCACTCCAGAAGGGTTTGTTCTCTGATCACCTTTTTGGTTTTTTATGAAACTGGCTCCACCCTTACATACCTTAAACAGCTCTGGTCAGACATTCATACACAGTTGGTATCGGAATCAGTATCGTATCAATTCTACTTTATTCAGGGTTTATTTGAACAGCCATCTTGATCTGGAGTGAAACAAAGATGCAAAAATACAGCTTTAAGTGCAAAGGTTTGAAATCAGTGTGGATTTTTTAATTCAACAGGGAGTCAAATGTGCTCACATGTCAAAATCTAAACAGATAACCCCACTGATATTATGCTTAATAGTTTCAAGTTTTGGGAATTAATTTATTGTTCCCTATCCCGAACCAGTTTTGATGATGGCCGCTCACACTGAGCCTGGTTCTGCTGGAGTTTTCTTCCTGTTAAAAGGGAGTTTTTCCTCTCCACTGTCACTACAGTAGTGTTAGGGATTGCATTCAAGACAATGAGTCGATGCAATCAACTGGTTTTCCTTAGAAAGAAAACTTTAAATCAATTTGACTGTATGAACTGGTGAACTGTAAAGTGCCTTGAGATGACATGTGTTGTAAATTTGGCACTATATAAATAAACTGAATTGAAATGTGTGTTTGAGATGACTGCTCTGCTGTTAAAGGTAGCTTTATCCATCTGAGCCAAACAGCCCCCTGTTGAAGAAAAGGAGACTGGTTAGAGCGTTAAAGAGTAATTTAGAAACTAATGATTTTGGAGTTTGGAGCTTATATTTCTATAAAATGAATTGACATCAGTAGGATCTTTTAGCAAAATGCAAGAAAAGTAAAAGTTCCTCATTAACATACAAGCTGCTTGAGTTCATCAGTCAATATATTGATTCTTTTTTTCTGTTATAAATCCAGCATTGAAAAAAGGGATCCAAATATTACTGCCTTTTTCTTTTTTTTGCAAACACCCTCAACAGGAATTTATTGTATCCAACATTGTATCCGTTATATTCTTTCTATAGTAACAACAAACTATGTGATAATTCCTGATTGGTTTCCTGAAAAACCAACCAGAAGCTGCAGGATCACCATGAAATTAAGCCTCACAGTGGATAGCTACAAGTTTAATTCCAGGCCCCCGACCTTTAACCTCTTGAAAATATGTGTACTGGTTTTTAAAAGTTCAATCCGTGACAGCAAATATCCAGCTATGATAACTACAGATGCTGTTTTTCTGATGTATGTTATCTAATCATGTTAGTATAGTTTCTTCTATATGGTTTTTTAGCAAATCTACAGTTGAAATACATCATTGAAAACCCCTACAGGAAATGTAATTCATGACCAGGATGAGTTTTTCTAGCACCACATGGAGGCTGCACTCTGATTTTTTTCCTCTCTCTAGAAGATGGAGCTGAAAAAGAGATCCCAGTCTGGGAACTCGTCCACCTCCAAGAGCACATCGCCCACTTTAACCCCTTCTCCGTCTCCAACGCCAAAGATCCCTCCAGGCCCGGGCGACTCTCTGTCGTCAGCATCGTCTCACCCACGCTCCAAGAGCAGCGGGGGCTCCAGCAGCGGTACCATCACAGACGAAGGTAAGAACCCGACTGGCCTCGTCACATTCATCATTTCCTCCTACAATCTCTGAGTTTTTTTTTTTTGGGCTTCTTCCAGATGAGCTTTCTAGCATTTTGAAGAAACTGTCTCTTGAGAAATATCAGCCTATATTTGAGGAACAGGAGGTATTCTGTCTTCTTATTCTGACATGCAGTTTATTCTTTTCGTTGAACATCCTTTAAAGTGATTTTTTTGGAAATTTTCTTCCAGGTGGACATGGAGGCGTTCCTGACGCTAACGGATGGAGACCTGAGAGAGCTGGGGATCAAAACCGACGGTCCCAGGCAGCAGATCTTAGCCGCCATATCTGAACTCAACGCTGGAAAGGTGCCTTTAGCTCGTTGCAGCCCATTTTTATTAAAACCTCTTTGTGCTTTAGTCTTTATCACACTGAGAATGTAAGAAAAACTCGCTGCCCAGCGATCTGACGTTAGATTCTGGCTGTCTACAGGGTCGCGAAAGGCAGATCCTTCAAGAGACGATCCATAACTTCCAGTCGTCGTTCGGTAGCAGCGCCAGTAACCCGAGGCCACCAGGCCAGTCTCGATGTAAGCATCAAACACTTGACCAAAGATCACATAGGTGAAATCATCATAACATCTTTTTTTTTTTTTTATTCAGCTCCATCAACTTGGATGAGGCACCAGGTTCCTTCCCCCAGCAAACGATAACCGCCTTGATGCCCGACCTGCATTAGGGGGATTCCACATTAATGACTTTCTTCTAACGTGTAGAGGTTCCTGAACAGTAACGGATATTAGCAGACATGTTTGGGGTGTCTTTATAATACACAGCTGGAAAATGTCTCCTGTTATGGACTAGGAATCAAGGGAACGCTCACTGATTTAACTGGAAACAGGAAAAGGGAACAAGTAGAAGTATTAAGACAAAATCCTGAGGTACACTTTTAAAGAACTGACCTTTGAATGCATAATGCAACAAATGTATTATAAAAGCATCTTTTTTAGTAAAAAATTGTGATTGCAGAGATAAAAGCTGAATAAGTTGTTTTTATTCTACTTAGAAAGCTGTTGAACTGAGCAAGTTTCCTTCTTCATCATGTCCTCATCATTTTTACACAATGAAATTATTCCTACCTAGATTTTTTTTTGTGATCACATCTTCAAAAATTTCTTTTAGCCTTAATAACTTGGAGAGATTACACTTTATTTCTTTTTTTAGAGGGATGCAGCGTTAAAGCTACGTACACCCTTTGAAAAAAGCAGCTAGACGCAGTTCACTGTGGGTTTAATCAGCTCCGTAAAGCAGGTGTTTAATTCGTCTGCAGAATATAGCTGCTGCCCATCAGTCAGGAAAGGGTTAAGAGGTAATTTCCAAATAATTTAACTTGATAAAGACTTTTAACTGTTTTTTCAGGAGTGTTTTATCTTAACAAATTAAGGTACATGTCAGACTTTAGTTTCTAGGTTAAATATTAAAGTTTGGAACGAAACAATTTGAGAAAAAACTGAAGAGGCATTGCTTGTTTGGAAGGATTATTCCGAGAAATTTGCCTCTGTTTGGCTGCACAGAGTTATAGTCAAATGTGGATCTGTACAGTCTGAGGGTTCATCCAGAGATGCAAACAGGGTTTTATGGTGTTTTGCAATGTTTAATATAGATTAAATTTAGCAAGGCTATATATTTTTAATTTTTTCTTTGTTTAATCACCCATAAATTAGACATGGTGACATTTAAAACAGTGGCCCCACCTAAATAATATTACTCAATGCTTTTCTGTCATATAAATACAAACAATTGTATTTCCAACACATAGTTTGGGAGCTGTAATTGCTTTAATGCACATATGTAATTTCAGGTGGAACCCCAAAGGGTTTTAGGAGCAAATTCCAAAAGGTTAAAGTGGTTGAAAGTCTCTGGAACAGTTTCCTTTGGACACGAGACCAAAGAAGAAATGTGAAAAAAGTGGGCATGCAGGTGGCACAGTGGTTAGCGCGCATGACCCATTTGCAAAGGCCTTAGTGCTCGACGTGGCCGACCCAGGTTCGAATCTGACCCGTGGTCCTTTGCTGCATGTCTCTCCCCTTTCCTGTCAGCCTACTGTCGAAAAAACGAGCCACTGATGCCGTAAAAACAAACAAAAAAAAGAAATGTAAAAGAGTGTTTACACGCTGTACAATGGCTATTGATCTGTCGATAGTCATTATGTTATGGCTCATCAGTATAACATAAAACACTGTATTTTTGTTTGTGGGTAAACAGAGGTGCAAGTTCTTAAGGTACAAGTCCCACATCTCTCCATCCAATTTCCTGTCAGAATATTTAAAAAATTTGATAGAAAATAAGGCCCCGTCCACACGAAGACGAACCCTGGCCTAAACGCACAAATTTTTCACCAAACCAGCCTCTCATCCACACGAAGCCGGCGTTTCGGGGGTCTGTAAACGATCATTTTTTTATTCAGCCTTCAGAGTGGGAAGATTCTGAAACGCCGTTTTCGCGTTTCCATCTTTACGCTCTAACCGCATTTTTTTTTTAACACACATGCGTCATAGCGTCGCCTCTAAACACGCATGCGCGACACAGTATCACAACAACAATGGCGCCGTACTGTGTTGAATGGTTGCTGCTAATGCTACTCACCCTGCTGTCGGGCTTACAACAGAATCTTCTTCTTCTGGAATATCTCCAGGAAGAACAGAGCAATATAGACAACATAGTTCAGCACCTGAATTTGACTTAACAACGAAAATGGACCCGCAGGGCAACCATGTATAAATATTAGTGCGCATGCCCAACATTTCGTCGCTTATTTTTGCTTTGGCACCACAGCGCCACTTACAGGCCTGGCATACATTTTGCAGCGTTTTCATGCATTCGTGTGGACGCTCACATTTATTTTACGTCTCCGTCTTTACGGCAAACGTTTTGGAAAATATCAGCGTTTCGTGTTCGTTTTGACTTCGTGTGGACGGGGCCTAAAAGCCACTAGTCCCAGCAGATGATCTTCTTACTGCTATAAAATGCACAATCAAGCTGGGAGGCAGTTTAAAACAAATAGAGGGATATAGAATAATTGTAGTGGCAATTGTTTGTCAAACCAAACATCCAATTAAGTTCCAATAAGCCACTATAGGCACTGGGGTCACGTTTTCTTGACGCAGGCAAAAGAAGTGGAAGTCCAAACTTGTAGATGTTTAGTTGATTTATTTCCTATATTTTGTCACATTACAGAGTTCAAACTTTCCTTGCCCTGTTACCTCTCTTGCACTGGTAAAAACCCATAGGCCCCTAACCCAAATGCCTGCTGGTCCTTACCAGGCTCCTACAATTATAGAAAGTGGACCGCCCACATTTCTTCCTGTTTTACATAAAATAAAGAAAAATAATAAAACAACAAAAAATAGATGCACAAAAATGCAACAATTAACCTATAAATTAAGTCTGTAAATAATACAAAAAATATATAAGTTTAGGAATTAACACAATTCAAATGGATAAAGAAATAAAGAATAAATAGCTCCAACACTCCGGCCCCTAATTGTGAATACTGTCACAATTACAAATGAAGAAAAAGGAGCTATTCCCTCAAACATGTCCTTAATTCTTCAGGTTGATGCTTCCAGTAGCAAAACAAGTTTGGTCACGGGTCTTTCGAGAACACTGGTCTTTGTTTGTAATCGCACAGAGCGGACCAAGCCTTTTGCATCCTGGTTTACGCTCAAGACCTTGGCCATCATCCATGTTCCTCTTGGAGCTGTAGAGTCTGCAATTAAGACAACATCTCCAGGAGTGAGACATCGTTTAGTTCTTGTCCATTTTTGTCTTTCCTGCATCAGAGGTAAGTACTCAGAAAGCCATCTTTTCCAGAACAGCTCTGCCATGTATTGCACCTGTTTCCACCTTTTCCTGACAAAAAGATCCTTTTGATTGAACAATCCTGGTGGCAAAACTGGTTTGGTTTTTAACAACAACAAATGGTTGGATGTTAGTGCCTCAAGATCATTTGAGTCATCGGAAACTTTAGTGATGGGTCTGTCGTTTAATATGGCTTCAACTTCACAAAAAATTGTTTGAAGCCCTTCATCATCCAAAACTTGCTCTTTAAGAACTGAAACCAAAATACTTCTTATGGAACGAATCAGACGCTCCCAAACTCCACCTTGGTGAGATGCTGCTGGGATGTTAAAGTTCCATTTAATTCCATCCTGCACAAAAGCATTTTGAATTTTAGCATGATTCAGTTCAGCTAAACTCTCTTTCAGCTCTCGATTTGCACCAACAAAATTTGTGGCATTGTCAGATCTGATGGTGGAAACTGGGCCTCTTCTACAGATGAACCTGCGGACTGCATTTATACAGGAATCTGTATCGAGGGTGTAGGCCATTTCCAGATGCACTGCACGGCTGGTGAAACAAGTGAACAGAACTCCATACCTTTTCAGGAGGCTTCGTCCTCTTTTAACACTTACAGGACCAAAGTAATCCACTCCAACATTTGTAAAAGGAGCGGTGGCTGGCAGGACTCTTTCTTCTGGCAGATCTGCCATCTTTTGTTCAATAAACTTTCCTCTGTTACACCTGCAAACAACACAGTGAGAAATGATTTTTCTGGCAGCTGAATTAGCATTTATTATCCAGTATTTTTGTCTTAATCTTGACAGCATATGAGCTCTTCCTGCATGTCCCAACTGTTGATGAATATGGCGTAAAATCAGTGTAGACACATGCATATCCTTTGTCAAAATTGCAGGATGCTTTGTTTCGACAGGCATGGCTGATTTATTCAACCTGCCACCCACTCTGAGGACTCCAGCATCCAATACTGGGTCGAGTTTGTATAAAGAACTTCTCTTAGAGACTGCTTTAAGGCCACTGGTGATTAAAGCCAGTTCAGTTGTAAATTTCTGTTGTTGTGCAAACTGAATAATGGCTAGTTCTGCCTTGGCCAAGTCTTCAGGAGTCAGATTTTCTTTCTTCAGAGTGGTCTTGAATCTGTCTATCTGCTTGTCTAGGGCTTTGTTTTGCTTTTCTGGTTCATTTTTATTTAGGTCTGCAGCAGCAAACTCCTTCCTTTTCTGTTGCAACAGCATCAGAATGTTTTTCAGCTTTAAAAACCAGGCAACAGAGGTTTTAAGCTTTGTCCAAGATGAAAAATAATGAATCAGATAGCTTGTAGGATTTTGTGACTCCTTTACAAGAACACTCACGGCTAGGTCCCTTTTGACCTCTGGGTCATCTGCAGGAATTGCATGGTGATCCACATCCAGTTTAGGCCATTCCTCTTCTGATCTGTGGAGAAATTCAGGCCCATTTATCCATCTCCTGCATTTAATGAACTCCTCAGCTCTCATGCCTCTGGATGCATCATCTGCAGGATTTTCCTTGGAGGAAACATATCTCCACTGATTCACATCTGTTGCTTCTCGGATGACAGAGATCCTGTTTGCAACAAAGGTGTGAAATCTTCTGGTTTCACTGAAGATATATTTTAGTACTGTTGTACTATCAGTCCAGAAAACAGGTTTTTCCAATTGTATTTGCAGCTCCTTTTGCAGCAGTTTATTGACTCGGACAGCAAGAACAGCAGCGGTCAGTTCCAACCTGGGAATTGTTGTTTGCTTCATAGGAGCAACTCTTGCTTTTCCTAGAATGAAAGCAACATGTGAGATGTTATTCTTTTCCAGTTTTAAATATGACACTGTTCCATAGCCGTCTTGACTTGCGTCAGAGAAATGATGAAGTTGTCCTTTGTCTGGTTTCCTGATGCAGCTTGGTTTGATGCAACGATCCACCTTAAAACTGGAGATCAGCTGGAGGTCCTCCAGCCAGTCGAGCCACTTCCTACAAAGAGAATGGGGAATAACTTCATCCCACTTCAAGTTTTGTCGACAAAGTTCTTGTAGCAGCAGTTTAGCTGGCATACTGAAGGGAGCTAGGATTCCCAAGGGATCATATAGTGAACTAACCACAGACAAAATGCCCCTTCTGGTCTGTGGGCGGTCCTGCACAGAGGTTCTGAACTTGAACTCATCTGTTTCGATGCTCCACTGTAAACCCAGTACTCTCTCGACCGGAAGTTCATCTGTGTCCAAATCCAGATTCTTAATTTCTTTTGCTCTCCTTTCCTCTGGAATGGACATGAGCACTGTGCGACTGTTGCTTACCCATTTTGAGAGCACAAATCCTCCCTTAGAGCAGAGGTCCGTCAGCCTCTTCACCATGTGAATTGCATCTTCTTCTGTGGGAACAGATTTTAAACAGTCATCCACATAAAAGTTATTTTTGATAGTATCAACCACTTCAGCTGGAAACTGTTGTGCGTTATCATCAGCAGTTCTTTGCAGAGCATAATTTGCACAGCTGGGTGAAGACACTGCTCCAAACAAATGAACCAACATCCTGAACTCCTGTGCAGGTTTTGATGTGTTACCATGATGCCACCACAGGAAACGGAGGAAGTTGACATGTTTTTCAGAGACATAAACTTGGTGAAACATGGCATTAATGTCAGCCATTAGTGCAACAGGCTCTTTTCTAAATCTAATGAGAACTCCAACCAGAGAGTTTGTGAGGTCAGGTCCCTGTAAAAGCTGACTGTTCAGTGATGCTCCTTTATAGGTTGATCCACAATCAAATACAACTCTCAACTTTCCTTTTGTGGGATGATGCACTCCATGATGAGGAATGTACCACAGTTGTCCATTACCTTTCTGTAGGTCCTCTGCTGGTACAGCCTCAGCATGTCCTTGCTGCAGCATGTTGTTTACACATGCAGTGTATTCCTCCTTGTACTCAGCATCCTTTTCAAATCTCCTTCTGAGGCTCTGGAGGCGCTGCTCTGCAACACAGATGTTATTTGGAAAGCAGGGGCTTTCACTCCTGAAAGGTAAGTCAATATTATAATGACCTTTAATAAGTTTTGTAGAGTTATTGACAATGTTCATGAAATGCAAATCCTCTCTAGACATTTCAGTTTTCTCCTCTGATGATCTTTCGTTAAAATCATCATTGTACTGTTTGATCAGCATTTCTTCAAGATGCTCAACAGAGATCCTGTTGGCTGTCACAGCAGTGCAAACATTTCTATTTTTGCTGTGGCTTCTAGTGTGCAGGGGACCATTTATGACCCAGCCAACTTTAGTTTTTACAGCATAAGGCCCACCATCTACACTGTTGATCACCTCCCAGGGCTCTAAAACATTTGAAGCATCAGTTCCTATCAGTAGTTCCACATCTGCATTGATGCTATGAAGCTTAACAGGTTTAAGATGAGGCCACTGATCAATGTCCTTTTGCTGGGGAATATTCAATGTAGAAACTGGCATGGTACTTTGAGTCAAAACATCTGGTAGCTCTATGAAATCATTTGTTTCCAATTCAGAGATTTCTAAACCAGACAAAATTTGTACATTAACAATCTTATTTTGACTCATTGTTCTCAGCATAATATTTGTTCTTTTGCCCTTTAAGTTCAGACTTTTTGCCAGAGTTTCTGTACAGAACGTACCTGAACTTCCTGGATCAAGAAATGCATAAGTTTGCACAACTTTGTTGCTCTTTTGACTTTTAACTTTAACTGCAACAATAGAAAAAACAGCATTATCATCATGACCGGCCCCAATATGCCCACATGTCTGGGTGGTTGCAGTTGAGAAGTTGACATGAGAACTTGTTGTCTGTTGGCTTTGTTCTGAAGAGGCTCCTGGCTCCTTTTGTTGTATGTGAAGAACCCCTGGATGCTTTTGGTGACACACATTGCAATCCAAACGACTCCTGCAGTCTTTGCTTGTGTGACCAACTTTCAGACAACCGAAACAAATCCCCTTTTGTTTAATGAAAGTCAACTTGTCCCTATGCATTTTAGCTTTAAACTGCACACAGTTTTCCAGTAGATGATTTCTTTGTAAACAAAACAAGCAGCTGTGAAGAACAGTAGACTTGGTCCTGTTTTCAGTTGAGTGAGTTCTGGCTTCTGGAATTGTGCTGACATTAGTGGCAAAACTGCTTCCCTTTTTTCTTTGCTTGCTGTAACTTGGAACTTTGGAGTTGTTCCCTGTTGGTGGGTCTTGGATATTGCCAAACACTGGATCTGATGCTACTTTTACTTCCTTTGTTATGAAAGCAACCAGATCAGTAAACAACGCTCGGTGACCAGTTTGCTCCTGTAGCTCATAAGCAGTAACTCTCCATTTTTCCCTCAGTTTATATGGAAGTTTCAGGACAATTGTTCTCATATTTGAAGGTAAATCCAACTCCTTCATGTAAACAATTTGTTGTGTCAGATTTGAACAACCTTGAAGAAAAAGAGAGAATGATTGTAGACTTTTCACATCATCCCCTTTTATTGGTGTCCAACTCATAATCTTCTCCATATACGCAGAAGTTATTTTATTTTCATTTCCAAAATGTTCTTCAAGAAGATATTTGGCTTTGGAATAACCTTCCTCAGAAGCTAAGTGTTGACAACTATGCACGAGATCTTTAGGCTGCCCCCTGGTGAACTGCTCTAGGAAGTGCAAACAGTCGCTGCAGTTGTCAGTTTTAGCCTCCACTCCATTCTCAAAGGCATTCATAAATGATCTGTACTGTAGGGGGTCCCCATCAAACACAGGGATGTTTCTGGATGGGAGAACAGACGATAAGTTTTGTTTTACTAGTAAGGCTGTAATGTCATTTTGTCTTTGCATGATGTTTACAATATCATTCTGACAGTTCTCAGTCAAAGGAGGAGATTGAAGTTGCGTCTGCTCTGTTGCTTGAGTTGAAGAATCAACTTTAACTCTCATCTGATCCATTTGAAGTTGTCTCTCTCCTTGTTTAAGTCTGACAACAGGGAAGTTGGATGAAGACTTTTCTTTTTCTTTCAGAACAAACTCATCAGCGAGAGGATTTAGCAGGGGCGTGTGCTTTCCTTGGGCTCTTTCAAAATAAGAGTTCATCCCATCAGATTTTTTAGAACTAGCAACTGAATTTATTTTTAATACATTAAGTTTTGCGTTAGTTGCTGCCAACTCTGTTTCCAGGTCTAACTTTTCCTTTTCTTTTCTCAGGTTTTCCTCTTGAGCTTCGATCAGATGTTTTATGTCCAACGCGGCGAGTCTCTCCATCAGCGCTGCCTTTTCAGCCGCAGCTTTAATGCGTGCAGAAGAGGTGGATGAAGCCCGAGACTGCTGTGAAGATGTTTTTGAACGTGGCTTTATGCTTGTAATATTAGAAACATTGTCTTCAGGATTTATTTCATCAGGATCTTCAACAACCTGATCATCAACATAGTTTTTCTGTTCCATATATGGATCTCCTGCTTCTGTCAACCAAACCTTTACATTGTCCACAAAATCAGAGAAAGTCGTCACCTTGGACTGAAAATACACAGTTTGTCTTTTTACTTCTTCTTCTGGCAACGGCAAACCTAAAAGAGATTCGTGTAAATCAGTTGCTTCTCTATAGCATTTAATAAACTTTGCAAAGTCAGAAGCCACTTTCTTAACATTTTCTTGTGAGCTCATTAATGCAGAGATTTTCTCCATACATTTTGAAGCTTGTTTACACTTTAAACTTCGTTTTTCTTGACATGTTTTTATATAAAACTCCAAACCCTTTTGTGTAAATTTGATGGTTCTTTTGTTTTGTGACGTCTGGGTGTCATCCTCTTTGCTCTTTACATCAGACATTTTTGCAGATTCTTTGAATCATTTCAAACATTTAAAGCGTCATAGTCCACGAATAATCCACAAGGAAAAGCACAAACGTATCTCTTTGTTTAAAGAGATTGATTCTTGTGAACAAACATTTCCATGTTGGGCGTCGGCTCACGGCTTGATCCAATTACGCATCAATTTGTCACATCAGACTCATCTCATCAGTCTTTGGAGTGAAATAATGTCTTAAACTCCAGTAGATTCACTATTTTCCTTTATAGCTTGAACAATATTGTCACATACCAGCTTGATGAATGAGTGACGTGTCCATCCAAGTCTGACGCATCGAGTCGCTTGATTTAATCAAAGATGATCCAAAACCTTTTGTTTGAAGGGAATCCTTGAGATCCATAAATCCAGCATGTTGATTGGTGAGGTATTCCTTTTAGTCCATGGGCTGGTTCCTTACTTGTTCCACAGGGTGTTTTTACTTGATCCACAGGTGGGTTTTTACTTGATTGTAGTGGCAATTGTTTGTCAAACCAAACATCCAATTAAGTTCCAATAAGCCACTATAGGCACTGGGGTCACGTTTTCTTGACGCAGGCAAAAGAAGTGGAAGTCCAAACTTGTAGATGTTTAGTTGATTTATTTCCTATATTTTGTCACATTACAGAGTTCAAACTTTCCTTGCCCTGTTACCTCTCTTGCACTGGTAAAAACCCATAGGCCCCTAACCCAAATGCCTGCTGGTCCTTACCAGGCTCCTACAATTATAGAAAGTGGACCGCCCACATTTCTTCCTGTTTTACATAAAATAAAGAAAAATAATAAAACAACAAAAAATAGATGCACAAAAATGCAACAATTAACCTATAAATTAAGTCTGTAAATAATACAAAAAATATATAAGTTTAGGAATTAACACAATTCAAATGGATAAAGAAATAAAGAATAAATAGCTCCAACAATAATGTTCTTTCCTTATTAAAAAGTCTAAGCAGTGCTTAAAATCAAGACGACAGTCACACAAATTTAAAGACTTTAAGCAAACTACCTGAAAAGAAAACTAAAAAAAACAGAAGACCTAAAAGTCATTAAAATCTGTATTTATCTGAAAACAGAGACTTTTGAGAGAAAGATTCTCCATGTGGTTGTAAAATCACACCTCCTCCAGAAGGAGGCAGTGAACATCCGGCTCTTGAGCTGATTTACTTCTGTCTTCAACCCCTTGACTTAAAATCCCTGCAGTCTTTATGTTTATTCCTTAACGTTCATTTAATGCTGCTTCTACAAAACTTTGTACAGGACAGATAAATTATAGAGGGAGCAGTTACTTACTGTAGTTCAGCAGAACTAAATCCTAAAGTGATAAATCTGCTGTTTTGGTGTTTTGTGGTTTTTATTTTTTATTTTTTTATACTTTATGTTTATTGAATGTGTTTCGTTTAACAATCACATACAGAACACAGAACGGAACCACTGTCGACAAGTAGAATTACTTACATTCTGACAAAGATGAAAAGATACAGGATGAAAACAGCAAACAAATTTACATTTCAATCTTTGTTTTCCAGAAATCTAGTCCATTTGCTCCATCTCTTTTTATAAAGCTTTGTGGTTTTTAATGTTTAACATGAATTACACTTAACCCTTTATAGGGCACTCAGTGAAATACTTTGAAAATCTAAATTTCAAGCAAATAGTGGTATTGGAATCCAGGACAAGACTTTATTACTTTTGTAAGATTTAAAAAAATAAGGATAAATAAGAAAAATAACAAAAGTGCTTTCTTAGGAAATTCATGAAAAGCACTCTGAGAGTGAAAAAACAAATTTTCTGGTACAACATAACCTTAGAGGCATTAATGCTGATACTGGCACTTAATTTTTTTTACCTTATAAACCTAAATATAATGCTAACTAGGCTTATTAACTTTTAAACTTTACTTTTTCACTTTTCAAATACCCTTTTTTCGTGACTTGCTAACTTTTTTAAACTTAATTTACAGTAGGTAATATATAATTTAAGGGCTCATCTAATTGGTCAAATACCAAAATAAGAAGTAGAGCCATGTAGCAGGATCTTTGCTGAATGGCTGGATATAGATCTAGTGCTTCTAGACATCACTGAGGGACGGAGGGGGCTCCATTTGTAAGGGGTATGCAAGTGATAAAAAACAGTAACTTGCTCTATAAAGGGTTATCAGCACCGCAGGTCTACACATACTCCATGCTGCATCTGTAGAAAGACAGTGTGCATATTCCCATCACAAACACTGCTTTAGAGCTGCTCAAGGAAAAAAATAAAATAAATAAAAATCAGAATTTCGCTGCAAAAACGGAAATATAAGCAACATTTTCTTGAAATAATTTCCCTAGGTTTCAGCA